ATGGTGTCTGATGATCTTCTGGATGTGGATGCTGGTGGGATGGTAGGTAAGGACAAGGGGAACCCTATCACTGTTGCGGGTGGGAAGAGAAGGGGTGAGGGCAGAAGTAGGAGATGGATCGGACCTGGTTGAGGGCCCTGTCGACAACGGAGCTGGGGAATCCTCGGCTGAGGAAGGAGGTGGATATTTCGGAGGCTCCCTTGTCGAAGTTGGCCTCATCTGAACATATGCGACGGAGATGGAGGAACTGAGAGAATGGGATGGAGGGAGTTCCTCCGTCTCTGACGCATATTTTCAGATGAGGCCCACTTTGACAAGGGAGCCTTGTTTCACTGGATGATATATTATATCCTGATAATATTTGTTGTGAACAAGAACCCCAGAATAAGAAAGCTCTGGCAAAACGCCAAATTTTCACATTTTATCATCTTAGCCTTCCTATCACTATCTTGGGCCCATTGAATTTAGAAAAAGAAGTCAACTGAAATGAATCATACATTCTGGACTTGGAAGCAGAAGCTAGACAGCAGAGTCAACAATCCTGCATTTAGGCATATTAAATTCAGAAATATTCTGAGAACGTAAAACTTTAGCTGTTTCTTTATTTCTAGCTCTCTTTCAAATCCAGAAAGACATTTAAACACAGAAAGAAACAAAAAAACTTAATCATACAAAACTAATCAAATTCTAATTTTATGGAAATATGTTTACAATCCTGCAGTATCTTACAGGTTCACAGAGTAGAGTTCTGACAAGCAATACCAGAGACCTTAAATGATCTCACCGAGTCAGCCAAATCAGGATAATGTTGCAGTAATGAAATGTACAACTATTTCTCCTTTACACTGTTTTAAAGTAAATGAAGATTTAATATAAATGTTTATTATGCAACAGGATGCATTTTAAAACTCAATATTCATTTGGAGGTGTTCATATAAAAATATGCACTAGAAGGAGGAGTGAGTCATTCAGCCCCCCTCAATCTTGATCTACCATTCAATAAGATCATGGCTGATTTGATGACTGCACATTCCTGCCTATAAAAACAATCTTTCACCCAATTATTTAACATGAATCTTCCTACCACTGCCTTTAAATCATTAAGAGACTCTGCTTCCAGAGCACTGAGGAACAGTGTCCAAAGACTCATGATCCTCTGGAAGAATAAATTCTCCTTAACTCTGTCTTAACTGGGTGACTCCCTATTTTCAAACAGCGATCCCTGGTTCTAGTTTCTCCCGAGAGAGGAAACAAGCTTTCTATATACAATCTGTCAAGTTGTCCCTTACTTTTCCAAACTTCAGTGGATAAAATCTCACCTTGTCCAACCTGTCCACTTCAGTTATTAGTATAGTAAACTTCACTGACCTGCTTCTAATGCATTTGCAATCACCTTAAAAACTGTACAGATTACTCCAGATGTTGTGTCACCCATGCCCTGTTCAACTGAAGCATCAGCTTCATACCTTTGAAGGTATGTTCTCCATCTGGCTTACATGCTTTGTTGACCTAAATTAACAAGTAAATTTCTTGAATAGTTGCCTACATATGTTGTTGTTAACTAATATAAATGTTGTGATTTTAGGTGCATTATTACAGAATGCTAAGAATGACTGAATTCAAAATGGCAAAATCAAAGCTCTATAACACAGGCCATTTACCAGTAAGAAAACACTGATTATTTAATGACTCATTCTTCTATATCAGTGGTTCCAAACCTTTTCAGTAACCCAGCACACTTCAATGAGACAAATAATTCCACAATACACCCACTTTTCTCAGTAGAATTGATTGCTCACAAACATTGCATTGACTTGCATTTATTACGGTATGGTCTCACTAGAGAGGTCAGCAACAGTTCACGTAAAAGTTAAAGAGGGATCAAATGCATAAATGTTTCACATTTTGTAATGACACATTTTCAAAATCTGCTTAATTCAACTATTCATCTAACTATTCATGAATCTGTTCCACACACTGAATTGAAATTCAATAAATCAGAGCAAAACACAAATTACAGTAAACTACAATTTACCAGATTCATGGGAAACCTGGTCCAACCAGAGAAAGAGCATGAGAAATTGGAACAGGAGTAGGCTCGTCAACCCCTCAAAACTGCTCTGCCATTCAATAGGACCATGGGTGATCTGACAATCCTCATATCCATGTTCCTGCCCTTTCCCCAAAATTCTTGATTCCTCCCCTAACACCGCGCATCCCCATCCCCGATCAAGAATCTATCTATTTCACTTTAATTTAAATAATATTCTTCCAAAATGAACAGCTTCACATTTTCCCACATTATACTCCATTTGCCAACATTTTGCCTGCTTAATTAATCTGTAGACTGTTTGTACCCTTTCACAACATGTCTTTCCACCTATTCTTGTCATTTACAAGTGTGGCTACAATACATTCACTTCCTTCCTCCAAGTCATTAATATATACTGTAAATAATTGCAGTCCCAGCACGGATTCCTGTAGAGCCCCACTGGTCACAGGTCACAAACCTGAAAAACAAAACCTCATCCCTAATTGCTGTGGGCACAGAGCCTTTTGATCCAGAGAGGAATTTGTGAAATTCATAAAATTTATTATTCATAAATTTCATTCACATGAAATTCCAATGGCAGGAAATATTTGAACAAGGAAAACGCAGGCAACGATAAAGAAATACCATACATGGAAAAGACTTCACAAAGACATAGAACACTTCTGTAAAACATTTCCTTCATGTCAGGTAGTAGGAAAACTTCAATATGTAGTTAGTCTAGCACTTTTCATACACTCACCAGTTACCGAAGAACCATATAAGTCAAGTGTTAGTAGTTTGTGTGGGATCATTTGCCAAAATAAAAGCAAGACATGAGTATATCCTTACTGGTATGGACATGACAACCTAAATTCCAGAAGCCTTCTGTGAAGGACGATTACACCTAAGGTAGTAGTGAAAACATCAACTCAGTTTTCTTTCACTTGTTATTGTCGACCAGTTGGAATCCAATCAATTCTAACTTGATGTTTCTAGTCAATCATCAGCAGTTTGGGTATAAAACAATTGCAGTCAACTGCATATCACCTACAAATATAGGAAGCTTTGGAGGGATACCACTGGACTCTAAAACCATGGTAAGACAAAACGCCACAGGATTGGGAGAGAGGATTAGATTTCTTACTATTTTCTATCAGAGGTTCCTCAAATGAATCTGCAGCCAAGAGGTAGAAAGGCATTAAAATTGATTAGGGAAAAGTTATTGAGTCAAAAAAAAAATCCTCAATGTTGAAGTACATGTCATTTTTTTGCTAGAGATTCACAGGTGTATGTGAGTGGAAGTACTGCACTGTAGAAAAGGAAACTTTGGGATTATTATTAGTTGTTCAACACTATGAGGTCTCTGTGCAATTCAATAGCAAAGAAATATTGACTTACGCTGACCATAGAACCTGTTGGTGTTCATTGAAAAGTTTTAAACTTGAAATGAGAGTATTGATTTAACCAATTATTGTGAATATTATTAATTTTGCTGTAAAATATAATGTAAAAATTAATGTGCCGATCACATTATCAGCAAAGAACTGAAAGAATCTGGAATGTGAGGAGATTAGAGAACAGAAGCAAGACTGAGATCTTATTGAATTGTGTGACTATTGAACGTATTTCCCCAGTCTTATTTTCTCCACCTATAGTATCCACGTGTGTTTGTTTGTCTGTGTCTGTATGGTAGTGTAGGGGGTTAAGAAGCAATTAGAGTTTTAGCTAGTAAACTTCAAAGTTGGTAGTTCAAAATGTTGTTTGCCTGTGATTAGAACTTATTTCTTTGTAATGAATGGTAGTTTCTTGTTAAGTAAAATAAACTGATCAGTGTTTTCTGTTAACCCGAGTTCATCAGACAGGAATACTGGGGGCTTTGAGCAATTTGAATAAATCTTTAGCTTTTTTGATGAACTCAGGAGTATTCGGGGCTTGAGAATTAAAGTGTTTGCCCAGCTGGGTCATGAGACTATATTGTCACCTCCTCACTATAAAAGTTAAAATAACATCCCCAATGTTTTATTGGAGCTATCTACATGCAAATTGCATTTTCAACATTAATACTGTATAGTGATTACACTTCAAAAGCACTCTGTTGGTTGTAGCCACATTGAAACATTCTGAGCTCGTTAAAGGCATTGACTTGGAATGCGATTGGCATCAAAATTCTCCAAGTGTACCTGCGAGCACAAACTGCTCCTATTCAGGGACGATCTAAGTAATTACCAACATTGTAAATATGGGCAACAATTGAAAAGATTGCTCTTAACAATCCTCAACCTCCTTGACCTGTAGAATGTGGCTGTCATCACCATATGTGGAAGCGTTTTTTGGAATTAATACCGACATGCCAGTGTTCCTTCCTGCAATGCTGATTCCATTGCTATTTTCCATTTTTATTTTCATCTTACATTGCATCATGGGCTTGCACAGGACAATGCATTATTTTGGAAATCCTAGGAGAGATATCTGTACCATCCCTAACCAGTTGTAGTCACGAGAGGTGCCATTTCAAGATACTAAGAGTCAACTACGTTTTTGTGGATGTCACGTAGGCCAAATCAGGTATGGAAAACAGATAAAGGCTGGGTTGTTAAGTATATTCAAGGGTGAGATAGTCAAATTTTTCATCAGTAATGGATTTAAACAATCAGCAAGGGGAAAAGGCGGTAGAGTGGAGTTGATCAGATCAGTCGTGATCTCATTGAATGGTGAAGCCGACTCGACAGGACAAATAGCCTACATTTACTCCTATATTTTATGGCTTTCCCTGAAGGTCATTAATAGACCAAATGGGTTTTTATGACAATTGACTATGGTTTCACGGGCACCATTACTGAGACAAAACCGGATATATTAATTGAATTTAAATTCCATCAGCTACTATGATGTGATTTGAACCCAAGTCCTGAAAACATTAGCCTTGGCCTCTGGATCACCACACCATACCACCCAAAGACTAGAAGTATTAGAATTAGAATCAGGTTTATTGTCACATGTACTCAAGCACAGGGATACAAAGTTGCTATTTCCAGTGCCAACTTATGTACTAAGATTAGTAGGTACAAAATCTTGGGTATAAATCAGAAAAATGAAAAATTAAGAAGATCAACGTTACAGTCCTTGTAAAGCTGGGTACAAAGATACCTAGGTACAAAACCTTCAAAGGAATATCTTCAGCACTACATGTGGGGTGAAAACACAAACATGGAATGGAGAAACCATTGTATACATTTCTTCCTTTGGGTTGGGACATCAATTTCTTACATTTGTGATACATCAAGAATTAAACAGGTCATACCTTGGCTGCTGAGTCCTTAGCATGCAAAAGACCTAGTACTTGCCACAAACATGATTTAAAATGTTCATACCTTTAGAGGAGATCCGCCCCGTTCTCAAAGCTTTGTTGTACCGCATACCCAAATGTGAGCAGATGATGTGATCGCCCTGGAAAAAGCAACACTTCTTCTAAATGATGTTGCCCACTCATTACTGGAGTTTGCCAGTTGCCGAAAGTAATGATATTCTAGGCTCTAGTTAATCCATGATTCTTCCCCCTGATGCATCTATAGACATAAAACTGCCTCTTAAGCAGTCCTAAAAAAAGCACATGGACAAGAATCAAAGGCCCATACTGACTTTTGTATCTACCAGCAATGATTCATTGATGTATGGAAGCCTTAGAAGAACGCATTTCTGTCATTAAGTCACTGCTAAGCCTCCTCAGGCATATCTTCACTGTCATTAACAAATACATATTTCTGGTAAAGGAGATGACATGGAGGTGCCAGTGTTGGACTAGGGTGGACAAGGTCAGAAATCACACGACACCAGATTATAGTCCAACAGGTTTATTTGAAATCACAAGCTTGTGATTTAAAATCAACCTGTTGGTCTATAACCTGGTGTTGTGTGACTTCTGACCTAGTACAGGAGACTCACTGCGTAACAGAGATGTGGTTTTGATGCAGACAATAAGTGCAATCTGTTATCATGGGTGGTTTCTCCTTGCTGATCCTCTTCTGACAAGTTGTTGGAGTTTTGGATATAGCCTCTATGAGACACCAAGAAAAGGGTTGTGTTGCCAGCACTTTCAGGGTTAGGCTCCATAACTTTTATTAACTAATAAACTGTCTATGTGCAACATTACTCTGTAAAAAGAACAGTTCACAAAGAGCTTGGAGAATTTTTATAAATATTTGTAGTTAACTTTTGAATGGCTTTTGATTTTTTTTTCCAAAACCAGACTTCTTTGATCTTTACCTCTTCATGTTAAACAATAAAAGCACAATTATATTGCAGCCAAGTTAATTCTAATCATTTATATTAAAAGTGGCATGTTCTCTTAACTCTTTTCCCCCAAGTTGGCTGAAATTCATAGAACAATTCAAGATTAATGCACAGGATCTGATTTATAATACTTTTAATTTGCAAAGGGAAGCCTTAAAAAAAAGGGCCAAGGCTCATAGTGCAGGACAATAACCAATGCCAAGAAAGTACAAGAGACAAATCAAATTTAATTCACATACAAAGTCCCATACAACTATATCAATAAGCATAATGAAATATGATTCTCTGCTTTAGACTTTTTGATCCCATTCCAAGAGGTTTCCAGCAAATCTGAGCAGTAAATTCCTCCCAGAGCAGTGTGCAAGCTGTATGCAAGTCCCACAGTGAGATTCAATCTAGTTTGAGGACCAAGACTCATTGGTTTCCAGCTGCTAGGCTGTGATTGGAAATCATGTGCCTTAAGGCACCAAAAGATCTGGAAGTGCCTGCTAGAACTTATCTATTTGTTCTCTTGTGGCTTCTGGTTACCCCAAAGATTCAGTTCAAGCCCCACCATCAGTTTTCCTCAGGCATCCAACCACTTGGGTTTCCAAAAAATTAGCTGGTGTCAAAAAGTAGTTGAAAGCCTGGGAAGATCCTGTCCAATCACATTACTATGCAGCTACTTCTAGTACAAACCCAATCACAGCCTCAGGAATCCCCGATAATCTTAATCCCACACAACAGAGATCTAATATAAAGGGTCTCTATTTGGTTTTCCTTTTTATTGTATCTAGGAATGAGACATTCTACAGAAACAGTGAAGAAGAACATTCAAATAGTATCTTTGCCTTGTGCTACTTCATACCTTATCCCTTTCATCATCCACCAAATTAGGGTTAGTGCTCACAGACTGCTTTTAATGAGGCATCATTATTCACTGCTAACACAAGCCAATTTATTTTCTATGTTTATTTGGTACAAAATACAATTCCTAATTAACACACTTGCATTTTACATTAATGTTCAGCTCAACATAAAACTAGCTTACTCAATGTGACCAGCAAAATTACAGAATGCAAACTTATTAATTTGAAAGCATTACGTATAAAATGCAAGCCTCAAGCATTAGGAGTTTCACTGGCTGATATTACCCTTTCTTGCACCTTTTGGTGGAAGTCTATGAGCAATAAAAACTTGATTAAGAATAGTATCAGTGATGAAAGAAGGCAGGAAGTAGTAGAGAGCTTTTAGCACGTCAATCACAAACTCAGTGGTGTATCTAGGTTTTGGGTTTTGTGCTAACAAAGCAGTGACAATTGTGTCAATGACTGGGCCTACTTGCTGTCGGAAAAGTGAACCAATTGACATGATCCTTTGTTGAATTTCATCAATATATTCTTCTCCGTAATCATGAAGGAGCTCTGGAGAGAGGCCATCCATAAGTTTTTGATGTTGTTGCATCCAGAAGTTGACATTTCCAACTTGTGCTTTAAATACAAAAGGTGAAAGATAATTCACATTCTCTTATGTATTAACCTTGTCAGATGTTGGTTAATAACTGAGTTACTAGACTGTTATTACTTCTAAAAAGGTATTCAGAGTATTGAGCAAATTTGTAATACTTGTAGCCTAAGCAAATCTAAACAAGATTCCTTTCCTTTTCTCCTGCCTCATTATTTTCAGAGTCAAATTTCCTTCAGATTTTCAAGTGTTTTGATCAATTGCAATACAATGTGATAAAATTAGATAAAGGGTTGATCTCTTGCTCATAACCATCAATGGCTCACTTTGCACAGATATCATTTAATATCCCCTTCAAACTGCCCATTATCACCCGCTCAAATAACCTAACCTTGACCATGCGTGAGGTTGTTGGCTTGTTCTTGTTCAGACGTGTTGTCACCATGCTAGGTGACATCATCAGTGAAGCCTCCGATGAAGCAATGTTATTCTACTCCGTTTGGAATTTATACTGTCTGGTCTGTTATGGTGAATCGTATCATTTCCAATTTTGATCTGTATGGGTTTGTATATGGGGTCCAATTCTATATGTTTGTTGATAGCATTATGGGTGGAGAACCATGCCTCTAGGAATTCCCATGCGTGTCTATGTTTGGCTTGGGCTACTATGGTTACCTTGTCTCAGTTAAACCAATGGCCTTCATTGTCTGAGTGTACCGATATTAAGGAGAGCTCGTCATGTCGTTTTACTGCTAGTTGATGTTCATGTATTCTGATGGCTAGTTTCCTTCCTGTCTGTCCAATGTAATGTTTGTGGCAGTCAATGCATGGTATTTTGTAAACCACGTTAGTTCTGCATGTTGTGGGAATGGGGTCTTTAATCCTTGTGAGTGCTTGTCGTAGAGTGACTGTGGGTTTGTGTGCCGCCATGATTCCTAGTGGTCTTAGGAGTCTTGTTGTCAGTTCCGATATGTTCTTGATGTATGGCAGTGTGGCCAGTGTGTTAGGGCGTACTGTGTCCTGCTGTTGTAGTCTGTTTAGTAGGCATCTGCAGATGCGGGGATATCCATTCATAGCGAAGACTTTTTATAGGTGCTCTTCTTCTTTCCTGCATAGTTCCGGAGTGTTGCAATGTGTCGTAACCCGTTTAAATAGTGTCCTAATGCAGCTTTGTTTGTGGATGTTGGGATGGTTGCTGTGAAAGTTGAGGATTTGATCTCTGTGGGTTTCTTTTTAGCATACCGAGGTTTAGAACACCCCGTTGGTCATAGACTCAACTTTAACATCCAGAAACGGAAGTTGATTGTTGTTTTCTTCTTCCTTTGTGAATTTAATCTCTGTGAATACATTGTTGATGAGGTGGTGGGTCTCTTCTAATTTGTTGCATTTAATAATGACAAATGTGTTGTCTATGTACAGGATCCACAGTTTAGGTTGATTGCGGGGGAGGGTGGTATGTTCTAGTCTTTGCATGACTGCTTCTGCGATGAGTCCAGAGATGGGTGACCCCATTGGTGTACCGTTGTTCTGTTTGTTTACTTGACCATTAAAGACAAAGTGTGTGGTGAGGCACAGGTCTAGTAGTTGAAATATGTTGTCATTGCTGATGGAGCTGCTCGTCTGTGTTACTGCTTCCTCTAGTAATGTGGCCAGTGTTTCTTTGGCCAGTGGGATATCGATTGATGTGAATAAAGCTGTGACATCAAAGGATACCATAATCTCATCGTCGCTGATTTTTATGTTCTCGAGGGTATTGAGGAAATCTTGGGTTGACTGGATGGAATGGGGTGATCCATCGACCATGTGTTTCAATCTCTGTTGTGGGTCCTTGGCCAGTTTGTGTGAAAGTATGCCTGGTAGGGAAACAATGGGTCTGAGGGGGGATGTCTGGTTTGTGTATTTTCGGAAGTCCATAGAAGCGGGGGTGGGGGTTGTTCGTGCCTTCTGGTTTCGTTCTCATGTAGTCCGTCTTGGTTATCTGCCCTGCATCGCTTAGTCTCTTCAGTACCTGGGTGATCCTATTACCTAGCTGCAGTTTTGGGTTTATCACCACCTGTTGGTTAGTGGTTGTACCTGCAAGCAATGCCTGTGCTTTCTTAATGTTGAATCAGAGATAGTAGGAACTGCAGATGCTGGAGAATCCGAGACAACCAGGTGCAGGGCTGGATGGCTGGATGAACACAGCAGGCCAAGCAGCATCATAGGAGCAGAAAGGCTGACGTTTTGGGCCTAGACCCTTCATCAGAAAAGGGGGAGGGGAAGGGGGTTCTGAAATAAATAGGGAGAGAATGGGAGGCGGATAGAAGATGGATAGAGGAGAGGATAGGTGGAGAGGAAACAAACAGGTCGAAGAGGCGGGGATGGGGCCAGTAAAGGTGAGTGTAGGTGGGGAATTAGGGAGGGGATAGGTCAGTCCAGGGAGGACGGACAGGTCAAGGGGGCGGGATGAGGTTAGTCGGTAGGAGATGGGGGTGCGGCTTGAGGTGGGAGGAGGGGATAGGTGGGAGGAAGAACAGGTTGGGGAGGCGGGGACGAGCTGGACTGGTTTTGGGTTGCGGTAGGGGGAGGGGAGATTTTGAAGCTTGTGAAATCCACATTGACACCATTGGGCTGCAGGGTTCCCAAGCGGAATATGAGTTGCTGTTCCTGCAACCTTCGGGTGGCATCGTTGTGGCACTGCAGGAGGCCCAGGATGGACATGTCGTCTAAGGAATGGGAGGGGGAGTTGAAATGGTTCGCG